GCTATTACTTCAGTACAAAACATGAAATAGAAACAGAAATGTAAAATATTTTAATTAGGAAATAAACTAGACCTTTAACCAAGCAACTTTCTTCCTTCATATTTACATATAGCACCTATTACAAAAAAATTCCCAAATTAAAATACCCTCTACATAGAAATAATTTTTAAAAGTACTATTTAAAAATACTACTGATGAGTATAAACTATCAGTCCTAAAGTTAAACCTACACTGTAGAAAATAAAGACTAGCTTTTCTTATTTGAAAAGATTACAACATAGTTCATAATTGCCATGTCCTGATGCTGGAGAACACTGGAATGGGCAGCTTTTATTTTTTAAAGCAGATTTGCTATACTGACAGAATATGAAAACAGCTTAATGTAAACTGTTGTGGCATCATAAATCCTGCCCTTTGTCATATTTATAAACTATGTATTTGTGATGCAGTATCTAATTAACCCCTAGGCACTACACTGAAAACAAATGGATTTCCAAGTAGTCATGTGATAGCCACACGATGCAAAGCAGAAGAAATTTTAACAAACCAAGCTTGGCTGCAGGAGCTGAGAGAACTGAGTCCAGTGACACGGTCAGTTGAGTAGCCTTTATTGCAGTATATAAATTACAGAAAAATGGAAAAGCTAAAATCACACAGGTTACCTCTTAAATATCAAAGAAGCTATCAAGAGATCATTTATAAAGCATTTAATCTTGGGGCAAATCTAATAAGCTCTAGTACTAATAAATTTTTTCTGTATTTACAAAACTCCTAGGATTTCTAAATGTATAAATTAAGTCAGTAGTAAGCATGAAATAAAGTGCTATTTGAAATCAATTTTAGCACTGAAGTATGATCTACTCTACAGGATACAGAATGAGGAATCTTGCTAACTTGTGGAAGAAGTGGAACAGATGGATGCCAGAGAACCACACAGAATTGGTTTGAAATTTTCTTGCCCAGGAAGGCAAATAACTGGAATACTACAATTTAAGAGCAGAAACAAAAAGTTTTTCAAATAAAAGGTATACTAGGCCCAATTTTGACTACAGTAGATGTAGGGAAACCACAAAGCAATAATTATCTGGGGCTAAAGGGTTGGACAGGGCTATCTCCTCCTTGATAGCTTACTTCCTGGCAATAATCTTACTTAGCAATATGACATCTAAATTATTAGAAGTAATAGTGCTTAACTTTGCTAACTCCTGGGGTTGAGGGAATCTGACACTAACCTTATAGCAGATCACTGTTTGATCGTTCAGGGTATTTACTTCATGAGGAGTTAAAATTAGTGTGGAAGGTTGGACGAGGAGTCAAAATAATGAATTCCCAATTTGACCAAGGTTAATAATTGATGATAAATACTAAATTTAAAGGAGCTATTGAACAAATTAATCATGCCTACAGACACTGGATTAAAGTGAAGAGTTTTCAAGCAGCTGAGTAAACTTTTATGCACACCAACAACTGCTGCTGTTGGCCTAGTACTGGTCTTACTGCCCAAGCCACTGACAACAAAAAGACAAAATCATTAGCAGGATCAGAGGCCCCTGCACATAATTACTGCAGTGGCTCTTAGGGATGGGTTTCCAGTTTGATCAAAGTCACATTTTTACAATGATGGCTGCCAAAGCGACAAAGATATGGAACTTTCCTTCATGGTAGACATGTGCAGCAGCACACTTAGCTTCACACACAAACACTCTTCTCCACACTCCACAAGTGTAGAATTCAAATATTTTACATTAAAAATCATGTGCAACTTTTTTTGGGAAAATTTATAGAGCCCAAACAAAGTAATGTGAAACAAATGTATACTCTATCTGAAATATGCTTCAACAGTAACTGCTCTTGTTTATAATGAAAATTACTTTTCTTCTAAAATTACATTTTGCATAATAACTTGTAATACTCTTTCGTCTTTTCAATCCTTTTCAGATTTCTTTTTTTAAACACATACAATCAAAATCCAGTCATAACTATAGTAACATTTGAAAGATACATTCATCTTTTTACAGCATGAAAGACATATGAATATTTTATCCCTTTTAAGCAATGAAATTAAAGTTAACAGTTTTAACCTTTTGCCATAGAAAAATATTTTCTATATAATTTACATAATAATAGGAAAAGTCTACAGTGTTTAAATGAAACTTTTATGACCTTAACAAGGCTCTCTTTTTCATTTATATACTGGAAATTTTACAAGGCTCCAAAGTTGAATGTTTGAACTCTTCCCTAATATTAGCCTTTAACCTGCAATATTGCTAATAACTTTCACTCTGCACACTAGAAGTACTACCGATTTATTTATGTACTTGAACCATGTATAGCCAATGCTGATGGACTGCTGTCAAGCAGATAGGACTTATGGCTGCCCACTTAGATTGGGAGGACTAAGACAACAATGACTTTAGAAATCAACAGTATAGTGTAGAAGAAAAATTTAGAAAATAAGTAGCAATAAATTTGTATATGGAAATAGAAAAGTGACTTTATGGTGTCTACTTAAAACAAATTCACCGACCATGAAAATAAAATGTCTAATTTTTGGCTAAAACAGTGGTTTCTGTTTCTGGTAATATTGAGAGGTTTATTATAATAACTGCTACTAAGAGTAAATGAAGTCTATAATACTTGTAGATATAGTAAAAAATTGAACTCCAAACATAATTTTTGGATTTCTTATACTCCTAAAATTGATGAAATCATCCATTAGCAATTAGCTCTCAAAAATGTTTTAGGATTATGCAAATTTTTATAGCTATATAATTAAGAATTTCATAAAATAGTTGCTACAATTTGTGATCACACTGAGACATAAATTATCTGTCAATAGTTGCTAAATTCAATCCACCAAATTATAATGACACAGTTGTTTTACTTGGAGGAAGCACCACAAAAGGTTCCAGAAATTGTAGCTGGATGGCTGGCACAAATGTAGGAAGTGAGCAATGTTAATACAAAGTACTTGCTTCGCCAATGCAGCACCTTGCATGAAAGCAGGCTGTGGGATCATTTAGGTTGTTCTGTCATACTATTGAGATGTTTATTCCAGTAAATATTTATCACCATGTATTTACTACAAATGACTTGAATACAAGTTCACCTGAACTACAAAATAATCATTATAAAATATAAGCCTGTAAACATATCTCACATTATTGTGATATAAATAACTCTGATGAATTCACAACTATTTTGGCAATTTTACCATCAGAATATTTTAAATATTCAAAACATAGACGATAAATAGCACATTGCTATAAATTCTTGTTTCCTTCTCTCTTCCTAATAAACAGGTCATGCTTCAATTTTATTACATGTTTGTATTATGAATATAAATCATTTCATAAGTAGATATACATTCTAAATCTTAGCTCTACATTTTAAGTGTTTTAAAAATAGTTTTCTACTTGTAGTCCAGTTTTCCTACTGCATGTGTATCAGGCTAAATGCTTCACTAAGGCTTATGCTGTCAGGGAAGCATAAATAGCAAACTGAGTCCAAGTCCCAATTGGGTTTTGAAGCCTACTTTCAAACTTAAGTGATATCTAAGGCTGACATAGTTACTAGGTGAGTGTGCTTCCCAAGTAGAAATAGACTAAAGTTCACAAGCATTTAGGATTTTCATGTATTAACAGTTTACTGAAATTCTAGTATAATAAAGAAACACTTGACTGAGGATTAGAAAACTCAAATTGAAGACCACTAGATTCTGCTAAGTCAATTACCACTGCTAGGCTTCTGTTTCCTTCCTATAATAAAAAAGGAAGTAGAGACTGGATAAAATCAACTTCAGGTCTCAAGTTGTAGTACTATTTATAGTGAGATAAGATGATTTTTCTCAAATAACTAAACTTTGTCAGACCTGCCAAGAGATATAAACAAACCTGTGGTTAAAAGTCCATTTTGCCTTTGGACATTAACCTTTATGAAATATATATTGCACTGACATTTCTCTATGAATGGATATCTATTAGTACCCCAAATCTTCAAGTAACTGTCTTAATGGCTTATTATAACATTATGCATTTGAAGTCAATTTTTATACAATGCTACCTTTATTCTTAAGTCAAAATGATCAACCATTACCCTTTTCCATCTACTTGCTCCAGCAGGCCACACAAGGGAAATTTTTCTTAGGTTGTTTATTTTGCCTCAGTTTTGAATAGATAGATTGGTTTAACAAATAAAACCTGTTCTTTTGAATGCAAAGTCTGTTCTAAAACATTCCTACATAGTATCTAACAGTGCTGACACACACCAGATGGATGATAAAATACTTGAACACAGAAAAACCATCTGAACTCAGAGAGTGTCAGAATAAATGCATTCCTTCTTGAGTTTGTCAGGATGTGTTGCTATGGGCAGCCAGAGGAGTGGAAAAGTAGCAATGAGTCAAGAAATTTGGCCTTTGTACAATATTATATAGATATGGGTAGAGTCTAGGACTACTTGGCATATGAAAGGTAGCATTATTTCTAGGAATCCATTTATATAGATAGGTATAATGGATAGTCTTATATGTTAGTAAAAAGGGAAGTTTAATCAGCATCTCCATATTAAGAATTTGTGAAAGATTATTTTAAATTTAAGAGCCTAATAAATAATGCTTTTTAAAATTTGGCCTTTTTACACATAAAAATATTGATGGAGGGTAGCTCCAAGATGAGAACTTTATACGAAAAATTTAAATGTAGCTCTACACTTCTAACACAATGTGACTTAAAGAGAGGCACTAATGATTAAAGAGGCAGCAGCGCTCATCACCAACTGTAGAGCTAACTATAGAAGTCTGAACAAAGTCCTAAATTAAAGAACAAGAAAATCACATTTGCCTGCCAACATCTATACAACTCCTATTTTTGCCTATAGATGTCATTTTATGTCTATGTGGTGAGGACAGATTTTTTTAAATTTTTAAAATTTATTTTTATTTTATGTGTATGTGTGTATTGCCTGCGTGTAGGTAAGTGCACCCATGTCGTATTCTTAACCACTGAGCCATCTCTCCAGTCCCAGGACAGATTTTTTTTTTTTTAAATTTAGGCTAAAAACATCCACTGAAATAGTTCTTTAATGTGTAGATCTCCAACATGATTTCCCTTTTCAATCTGTAATGCCATTCTATCAGTCTAAACTACATTTACCTCTGGGTAGAGAATGGAATGTTCAACTAAGACACTGATTATCTTCTATTGTTTTGAGTGTGAAATCAGGACAAGAGGACATCCCTTTGACATAAAAGGTATGTTTACTCCTCTCTTTATGACAAATACTAGGAATACTAAAATGATAATTTGGTATCCCAGCCATTAATGTTTAGGAGCTTAACTTCCTGAAATTTATTTACTATTATGGATTTTGAATATGTAAAATGATATAACTAGGATTTTACTAAAATTTTAAAAATGCACATCCTCCCAAACTAAATGGCATTTCAAAATATCTACCATTGGACCCTATACTTTATTAAGACTACACAGAAATATTTTGTAACTACTATCAAATAATACACCTATATAAAATCATTATATAAAATAACATTTGAGTAGCTGAGCAAATTTTCACTTATATTAAACTGGGCAATTTTAAAGTTTTTTTCTGTGTAGACTTAAAAACAAATGAAGCTGATAAGAAAATACACATATCCTTAATGGGAGTTGGATCCTAAGTCAGGCTGGACAGTCGAAAGTCTCATTAACATGCTTATAATTTAATAGGCATATATAAATTGGAAGAATGTAATTATATACAAAATGACAAAAAAAAAAAACCACCTCATTCTACTCTGGGGTTATATTTAGAAATAAGTAGATAATATTTAATTCCTTGTCTGAAGAATCTCAACCAAAAGACTAGTGTAAAGAAAGCTTGAGGTGCACTGAAATGAGTGCTGGAGGTTAGCACTTCAGTTATAGGAATAAATTAAATCCCAGCTAATTAACTGTTCTCTAACTTTAGCTTAGAGTAGCAATATGTTTATCACTAATGTTCATGTTAGACATTATTTTAAAAGTTAGGGATAAAGTAAATATGAAACATGAAGAATAAAGCCACTTTCAAAAAGACCAAGAAAAAAGAAAATAAAGTTAAACTGCTAAACCTTAACCCCTGTCCCTCAGTAAAGGAATGTACAGATTTTGAACAATTCCATAGCAGCAGAGCGTACACTCAACAGAACACAGCTATCTTGGCTTTTTATGGCAAAATACAAGTATTGAGAAAGAAACAAAATTTCTTTACCCTTCTTTGTATAACTCTCAAAACAAGAAGCTGTTTTTAAAATTGCGAACTTATGCAAAATACATAAAAATTTAAGAATGTACAGTATACATACATACCTCCTATGGGGTCAAATGAGTGCCTTTTCATTAGACAACGATGTCTCAAGGCACTTAAAGGGTTAAGACACGATGCATGCATTCCTTTACATCAAGAATGTGAAATCACATGATTTGGAATAAGCCAACCTTATGATAAATATAAGTTACATTATTAAATCCAAGAAAATCTGTAGATTCATAGTTATACTTTCTATAAGATGCTGGTAATGGACACTGTGCAGCATTTCTTGGGAACAGCAAATTCGCCTTTCTTCTCAACAGCAGGTCTCTAGAGGGGTGTGTCAGGGAAGACGTGCTGCATCCATAGGCAGTGTACTGGCTAACATTGAGAATGGTATTGCTAACATTTGAAAAATAATATCTGGTAATCAGGTAAGTACATGAGCCACTGGAAAAGACCAGAGTGGACTCCTGATGCTCACTTCTTTTCGCTTTCAAGGTACAAGTGTATAACAGAGATGAGAGTTCTGAGCCTTGTCTGTGGCAATTCTACCAGAGGGGACTGCATGGAACCACCTAAAAATTTCATCATTCTGAATGTATTCAGTTTTAAACTATTAGTTCAGAGCAAAGCAGGAAATAGTTTCAAACAAATGAGTTAAAGATTTTGAGTGACTTTCTTTCTTAAAGTGCAACAGTGCTGAAGTTTTCAAAGTTTTTTTGAGTTCTTCATTTTTTGTGTGAGATGCCATTTCCTGTGAGCAGTATTATGGCACAGTGAATGTAACAAAAAGCAGTTTTCCAACACATATCCCAGAATTTTTTTTTCTTATTTATTTGATGATGTTAAGGGTTTAACAAAGCCTTCTTCATAAACTTTCAAAATAGCTTCACAAACAAATCTGTATTGACTCTGAAAAATACAAAGGGAAAAAAACAATTGATCAGAAAATCCAGAAAACTGAAAGCTGACAAACACCTTGTCTTATAAAAGAAAAATAACACAATGCTAAAATTTTTACCAATAGATGGACAAAAAGTTAAAAAACATCTGACATTACACTTTTTTGGAAAAACTCAAGACACTGCTGGTTAGAAATGTTAAAATACTGAAACTACAAAGAGTAATTAGAGAGTATCTAATAAAATGTTATTATTTTGCTTTTGGACCCAGTAATCGCACATCTAGAAAATCTATCCAAAAGATAAAAACTAAAAAAAAATTTGAAACTACATATTCACTTCTTTGAAACCAAAATAAGTGGAAACGATGCAAATTGGCATAAATGAAGCAAGTAATCTAAGGTATGTCCTAGCAATGGATTACTATTTAGCTAAGAATAAAAGGAAAAAAAGTCTACAGACTATTGTAGAATGATTCCAGGATATTTTGTTAAGTGAATAAAAGCAAAGTAGTCATTAAGGTGGCTCATACCTATAACTCCAGCACTTGGGAGGCTGAGGGAAGAAAATTTCCATAAGTTCCATGTAAAAAGCTAGGCATGGCTGGGTGTGACTGTAACCCCAACACTGGAGGGGGGGGCACAAAACTAGCCCAGCTCCTGGTTCAATGAGAGACCTTTTCTCAAGGGAATAAGATAGACAGTGATAGAACAGGATATATAATATCATCTTCTGGCCTCCACATATGCACTTGCACACACATGTGTGCATACACTACACACTCTCTGTCACAAAAACAAAAAAAAGTTTAAGGCAAGGTATATAAAGTGTATATAATATAACTTTATAAAAGAAAGGAGGGGTTGGAAACATGGCTCAGAAAGTTAAGAGTACTGGCTGCTCTTGCAAAGGACCTGGGTTTGATTCCCACCACCCAGGTAGCAGCTAACAACCGTCTGTATCTCCAGTTCCAGGGAAATCTAATGCTCTCTTTTGATGTCCACAGGCATTGTGGTACAGGTGCACTTACATTCATGCAAACAATTCACTCATACACACAAAATAAAAACAATAAATATTTTAAAGAATAAAAGGAGAAATATATTACAGTGTATCTTTTTTTTTAAGAAAATGCTAAATCTTTAGTTTTTCCAAGAAAGGATGGAGAGAAAAGTGAACAAGAGAGGAATAAAGGAATAAAAACCAGATTTCATTAAATATACCTTTCTCCCTTTAAAAATATTTTATTTATTATTTTTATTTTATATGTATGTGTGTATGGCCTGCATGTAGGTAAGTGCATCTGTGTTGTGCAATGAATGCCTGCTGAGGACAGAAGAGGCTGTCGGATCCCCTGGAACTGGAGTTATGGACAATTGTTAGCTGCCATGTGGATGCTGGGATTGGAACCTGGGTCTTCTGCAAGAACAACCAGTGTTCTTAACTGCTGAGCCATCTCTCCAGCCCCACGCCTTTCTTCTTTTACAGATTTAATATTTATTTCTAAAAAATCTCCCTAAGGGGTTGGAGAGATGGCTCAGCAAGTAAGAGTACTTGCTGTTTTTGTAGAGTATTTGGGTTCAGTTCCAACACCCACATGGTAGCTCACAACCATCTGTAACTCCAGTTCCAGGAGATCCAACACCTCCTTCTGGCCTCCAAGGGTACTGCAAGCACATGGTGCACATACATGCAGGCAAAAACTCATACACATAAAATACAAATAAAAAATTTTAAATTCCCTAAACAGACTATCCCAAAACAAATCAATGTGCATGTGTGAAGTTGATGATGTTACCACATTGATGGGGGTTACTTCAAGGAACTTTAAGACAGTAATTTGACTATCTCTTGCATATATACCCAAAGGTAAAACAGAATTGTAGAGAAACTGAAAGCTCTGTTCCATGCTGTTTATATAGTAATATATACTGTTGTTCTTGTGACTGTAGCAGGCAGCATTAGAAAGAACAGAAGCCTACTTCTGATACTCATAGTCTTTCACTGCCAGTGTTGTAGAGAACAGGTATTCTTGTTAATCAAGAAAGGAGAAAATAGGCAAGGTAAATATAAAGGAGGCTAAAGTAAATCTACCACAGTCCTAAATTGATATTAACTCATTAAGCATATCTCATAGATCAGGTGATTCAAAAGTTTTAGAGAGAAACCCCTAGTACTCAGAGGGTAGCATCTAACATAATTTCTCAGTATTTTTTTCTGAGAGCAAGGAAGTTAACAGTTATTATACTCTTTAAAAATATTTTATTATTTTCATTTTATATGGATGACTGTTTTGCTTGCATGTAAGTAAGTGCACCATGTGCATGCAATGCCTGTGGAGGCCAGAAGAGGGTGTTGGATCCCTTGGAACTAGAGTGAATGGACAGTTGTTATCCTCCATGTGGGTGCTGATAATGGAACCTGAGTCTTCTGGAAGAACAGCAAGTGTTCTAAAGCGCTGAGCTGTCTCTCCAGCCTTAGTTATTATAGCCTTAACAAAAAGACTCAGAAGCCAAAAATGGGACAATTTTGGTCAGCATTAAGAAAAGTAACTAGAAAACACATCAAAGTAACTAGAAAACACATCAAATATGTTTATTTCCACAATTTTGAAATAACAAAAAAAGGTCAGTGGGTACTTGAGGAAACTAGCAAACTAACTCATACTGAAATTCTGAGCTGGCAGTACAGCAGCTCAATGGTAGAGAACTTGTGTGGCACATATGAAGCTTTGGGTTCCATGCCAACATGGTAAAAGAAAATAAAACAGTTGTAAATCAAAGAAAAGAATCAAATATTTAGCTTGCTTTTCAATACAAATTAGCCCATTTGTTAATTCATACAAGTTTTTTTCTTTAAAGAATCAATCGAGTTACTAAATGAAGAAAGAAACAATTAGGTCATCACTACAGACACAATGATAAAGGAATGTAGACATAGATCACCTAATAGTGCTAACCTCACATAAAGAAAGATGAACAGACATCATGTACTTCTTGAAGGACACCTGAACTGCACAAATTCAGGATCAATTTGTCACTTTTAGGAAGTACAGAGACCACCACCCTGAGGATACAGATCAACAAACTTCGGACTATGGGAAATGACAAAGTACAAATAAGTTGGTTTGTTTATTAAATGAGTTGCAAGAAAAAAGACAAGAGACAGAGAAGGAAGTTTTGATTAAAAGAAACTTCAGAGACATATAAACCAACCCAAATGTTCAGTTTGAACACTGATTTCAAACAAATTATAAAAACAATCATTATAAAAGTTATGACCCAAAAACATCACTTCTGGATACAGCTATGAGAGAAATAAAAGTGCAGTCACAAAGAGATATTTTACCTACTCCCCATCATACAGCACTACTCATAACAGACAAAAGGTAGAAGCAAGCCACATGTCCACTGACGGGAGGAATGGTTAAACAAATGTAGTATGCATGCACAACTGAACATAATCCAGTCTTGAACAGAAAGGAGAGTCTGGCATGTGCCAGAAAATGGATGAACTCTGAGGCATTAACAAACTGAAATAAGGCAGTTACAGATAAGCAAATACTTTATGACTCTACTTATATACAATGCATCTAGATAGTCAAATTCAGAAACAGAAAGTAGAATAGTGGTTACTAGGAGAAAGGGAGAAGGAGGTCATGAAGAGTTGTTTAATTGGTATATTGGTTCTGCAGAACGAACAAGTCCAGGGTTAGTTGCACAACAATGTGAGTATGCTCAATACTACTACATTGCACTTAAAATGATTAAAATGATAAATTTTGTTATGTGTATTTCACCACTATTAAGAAGGAAAACCTGTATTATGTAAAAAATACAGATTCAAAAAGCTCAAGAAAATGCTAGCAAACCAAATAAAAACAGTAAAAGAGTATATGCTGGTCAGATTTATCTCAGGAATTCAAGGTCAATTTTTAATTTTTTTGAGACAGGTTTTCCACACTACCTCAGGCAGGCCTGGAATTCACAAAATTCTCTGTTCTGAGATTACAGGCATGAACCATCAGGCAAAGGTCAATTTAGCAATCCCAAAAGCAATATGCCACACTAACAGAATAAAAGAAACACACACACACACACACACACACACACACGAGATAATTTCAGATGTAGAAAAAGCCATCAACAAAACTGAACTTCTTTTAGAAACACTTAACAACTATTAGCAGATGAACTTCTTCAACCTGATAAAGGGCAATTGTAAAAAAACAAAACAAAACAAAACCAAAAACCTTATGGCTCCTATATTTAGAGGCAGAATTTGAAGATCTTTGCCCCCAAGTCAGAAAAATTGTTGTGATCACCACTTCTATTCAGTACTGTACTGGAGGTTCCAGCCAAGAGACTTATGGAAGAAGAAGTGAAAAACTGTATGTGTGTGTGCGCGTGCGTGCGAGCGAGCGATCGAGAGAGAGAAAGCTCTACTTAAATAGGAAAAAAGCTAACTATCTCAATAGATAGCATGATATTTTTGTTTTTTGCTTTTTCATTTTTTGTGACATTTTTTGGCAGGCCTGGAGCTCACAGAGATTCAAACTCACAGAGATCTATCCGCCTCTGGCTCCCAAGTGCTGCAGATATGATTTTATTCCAAGAAAATCTTAATAAAAAATACACTCCCAACAATAACAACAAAACAATTCACTGATTAATAAATGATTTCAGCAAGATACAAGAAACATTACACAAAATCAACTGCGTTTTTTTGCTTAAGCAATAAATAGCTGCAAAATGAAATAAGTAAAAAATGTCATTCAAAATAGGAACAAAAAGGCAACATTTAAGAATAAATTAAAAGGCATCACTGAAAGAAATTAAAGATCTAAATAAAGTGACAAGCCTGAATATTTAGTCAAAGGATAGACAAGTATAGAAAATCTCTATCAGGTTGTAAGGTTTTTTTGTTTTGTTTTGTTTTTGTTTTTGCCAAAAGGGCAAACTGATTCTAAAATCCATATGGAAATGGGAAGAATTCTAACAGGTAAAACAATTTTGGAAAAGAACAGAGTTGGAGATACACACGATAAAACATTTCCAGTTTAAATTCTTCAACAAAGCTAAATGAAGGTAGGATAGTTCCAGCATTGGAACAGATACACGGATCAGTGGAAGAGAACTCAAAGTCCAGAAATAAAACTTGACACTTTTTGAAAATGGGCTGAACTCAACTAGATAAGCATGCAAAACGATGAAGCTAGAATCCTACCTCAAACCATACTGAAAAAATTAACTCAATATGGATTACAGAGCTAAATGTTTGACCCCCAAACTGCAAACTTCTCAGAAAAACAGGGAAGAGTAAACAACAACAAAAATGTAAGTTGTGGGGAGATGCTCAGAAGGCACAGGCAGGAGGATCCCTGAGTTCCCAGTCAGTCAGGCTATCTAAGCTCCAGTAGACCATCTTACACCCATGAATATAGGGGTAGCACTCAGTGGACTCAGTGGTTTTAAAAATAAGAATACATGAAGTTAGGAGGGAAAAGTGTGGGGGTTATAAGGGAAGTCTGGGAGTGGAGAGATGGAGGGATTGATCAAAAAACATTATATGCATGTATGAAATTATCAAACAATAAAAAAGGAAAAAGAGTAAGTCACGAAGAAAAAATTAGATATACCAGAATTCATTGAAACTAAAAAATTTGGGTTATTTATTTTTGAGGTGCTGGGGATTGAATCCAGGGCCTTGTACATGTTAGTCTAGCACTCTACCACTGAACTATATCTCCAGTTCAAAACTGGGGCTTTAAATGATATAATCAAAAAGTAAAAGTTAAAAAAACAAACAAAAAGCCAAAACCAAGGGCTAATGCTTAGGGGTAAAAAAACTTGTTGCCAAATCTGATGACCTGAGTTTGATCCATGGGACACACATGTTAAAAGAAGAGAACCAACTCCTGTAAGTTGTCCTTTGACTTTCACATGAGTTCTGTACCAGCCTGGGATATACAGTGGGTGTATATGACATATGTGTGTGTGTATGCATCATGTTTAGGATACACATGAAGCATAGTACTTACAGGTGTTTGGATCATCATGGCTCTTTGATCTCTCATTGTTCTTACAATGTCTAGCGGATAAACTGGCTGATTGCATTCAATGAGACACATGGCTGTTTCCATAGTAATAAGAACCCCAGTCCTTCCAATCCCAGCACTAAAATAAAGAGACAAATCGGCATGGTTTTAGTGATACAATGGTTATATTTCTTATGGTTTTTCTGCAGAAAGTTCTGAATCACAGTAATGGAAAGTACTGAATTACAGTAAAGAAAAAATTAATTTTAAGGTTTTACTTCATAGAAATAGCACGTCAATTTTGAACATGCTAAATATATTTTAAAACGCAAAGTAATATGTAAAATAAGAAATCATTAACAAATGCATAAAAGACAATAATATTTTATACCTTAACTTACTATTTTTAATTTTTAAAATTTATTATTTTATGTATATGAGTGTTTTGCCTGTGTTTATATAAGTGTATCCATGTCAAGCAATGCCTGCAGAAGCCAGAAGAGGGCATCAGATCACTTAGAACTAGAGTTATGGACAGTTGTTAGCTGCTATGTGGGTGCTAGGAACTGAACCCAGGTCCTTTGCAAGAGCAACCAGTGGTCTTAACTGCTGAGCCATCTCTCCAGACCAAAGTTAACATTTTAGACAAAATTAATTTAAATTAAACTTTCCACTGATATAGTTAAGAGGAATGCCTGGAAATGCAAACATGAAGACTTCTATAATATAAAATAGGTACACATTTCACCATTCCTTACAGTAGCCTCATTATTTTTATTTATTTATTTTTTTGAGACAGGGTCCCTCTGTAGTCCCAGCTGTCCTGGAACTCACTATATAGATCACAGAGATCTGCCTGCCTCTGCCTCCAAAGTGCTGAGGCTAAAGGTGTGCACCACCATGCCCAGCTTAACACCAGCCTCTTTAAAAAAACTTTTTAAAGCTAGCATACAAAATGATGGGTTTCATTATAACATTTTCATATAACATTGTACTTTGCCCCTCTTTAAAACCCCCACTACCTGCCCCCTCCCCCACTGGTCTCCTTCCTTCCCTCATTAGTACCCCTTTAGCTTTCATGTCATATATATACATATTTATGTATATATAAATATATGTGTATATTTAAATCTAGATTCTGTATGAGAGAAAGAAAACATGCAACATTTTGTTTAGCCCATTACTTTCTCCCCTCCCTTTCCTTTCTACCCTCTCAAAGTCCTCTTTTACTTTCATGTCATTTTTTACCCCAGAAAATTAGCAAAAACATGCAATATCTGTCTTTCTGAGTCTGGCTTATTTTGCTTAGTATGATGATCTCTGGTTCTATCAACTTTCTTACAAATGATATATTTTCATTCTTAGTTACATTCAATTCATTATACCTGTATACCACCTTTTCTTCATCCATCCATCCATCCATCCACCCATCCATCCATCAGTTGCTAGGCATCTAGACTGGCTCCATATCTTAGCTATTGTGAATAGTGCAGCAATAAATATAGTATCTCTGTTAACTATCTCTGTGGTATGTTGACCTGGCACCTGTGTTTCAAGTATACACTCAAGAATGGTATGTCTGGGTCATATGGTTGTTCTATATTTGAGGAACATACATATTGATTTCCATAATGATTGCATTAGTTTATACTCTCACTAGAAGTGAATAAGTGTTCCTCTTCCACCATATCATCATCATCATCATCATTTGTTTTCTTGATGATGCTTATTCTGAGTGGGGTGAGATGGAATGTCAAAGCTATTTTAATTTTCATTTCCCTGATGGCTGAGAGATGTTGAACATTGTTTTTTCTTCATATAGTTATCAACTATTTGCATTACTTCTTTTGAGAACTGTTAGCTAAACTTATTTGCCTATGTATGGATTGATATTTTGGTGTTTTTGTTCTTTCTAGATATTAACCTTGTCAGGTGTACAGCTGGCAAATATTTTCTACTATTCCATGGGGTGTCTCTTCATTCTGGTGATTATTTTCTTCATTGTGCAGAAGCTTTTAACTTGTTCTAATCCCATTTTGTCAGTTCTTGCAACTACATTCTGAGCTATTGAATTTTTTTTCATAAAGTCCTTGAGTATATCTCGAAGTGTCTTACCTAAGTTTTCCTCTAGCAATTTCAGATGTTCAAGTCTTTATATTAAGGTTTCTGATTCATTCTCATTGATATTAATGCAGGGCAAGAGATATGAATCTAGTTTCATCCTTCTACAAGTGGACAGCCAGTAACCCCAGCACTATGTATTGAGGCGGCTGTCTTTTATTGCACTGTATGTTTTTTATGATTTTCAAAAATTAGGTGTAATTTTTAGGCTCTTTATTCTAGCCCATTGTCTCCATGTCTGTTTTTGTGTCAGTACAATGCTGTTTTTGTTACTATGGCTATACAATGAGATCAGGTATTGGGATACTTCATTATTTCCTTTTTAAAATATTTTATTATTTTTATTTTACGTGTATGAGTTTATTGCTTGTATGTATGTAAGTACACACATGTTGAGCAATGCCTAGGAAGATCAGAAGAGAGCATCATATTCCCCTGAAATTAGAGTTATAGATGGTTGTTAGCCATCATGCAGGTGGTAGGAATTGAACCTAGGTCCTTGTCAAGAACAGCCAGTACTCCTAACCACTGAGCCATTTCTCCAGTCCCATGATACCTCTTTCTGCTTATGACTATTGTTTGTTATTCAGGGTCTTCTGTGCTTCCATATGAATTTAAAAAAATTTTTTTTGGTCTTTTTGGGACAGGGTCACCCTGTAGCCACAGCTGACCTGGAACTTGCTATGGAGACCAGGCTTGCTTGGATTTCACAGAGATCACCTGCCTCCCAAGTGCTAGGATTATAGGCGTGCACCACAACACCCTGCCTATATGAATTTTAGGACTGCTGATTCCAGTTCTGTGGAAAATGTCACTGGGATTTTGACAAGGATTGTGTTGAATCTGTAGAGTCCTTTTAGTAACAAATGTTTTTAACAATATTAATTTTGGAAATCCATGAGCAGAGGTGGTCTGTTCATCTTTCAGTGTATTCAAGTACTTTCTTCAGTGTTTTTATTAAAGCTTTTATTGTTGAGGTCTTTGATTATGTTTATCTCTAGGTATTTTATTTTTGAAGCTATTATGACTGGAATTTTTCTCCTGAATTCTTTCTTGACAAGTTTGTTATTTATATATGGGAAAGCTACCAAGTTTTGTATGCTGATTTTATATCCTACTACTTTGCTGAAAGTGCTTTTCATGAGCTAAGAGTTTTCTAGTGGAGTCTTCAGGGTCTTTCAAATACAGGATCAAATTTAATTTCATCCTTTATTATTTATATCACTTTTCTTTCTCTTACCTTATTGTTCTAAAATTTTAGGCACTATATTGTATATGGTATAGAGCACTATGCTGAATAAATGAATTGACATTTCTGATTTTAGAGGAACTGTATTCAGTTTTTCTGCATTTAGTGTAATATTAGCTATAGATTTATTGTATACAGCCTTTAGTATGTCGAGGTATGCTCCTTCTGTTTCTCCTTCTTCTCTCCTGAAATTTTTTCTGGTTGTTATTGTGGTTGGTTAGATTGTTTGTTCTTTCCCCCTATTTTATTAAGCGTTTGTTTGCTGGTTAACTGTGTTGGGCACAATGGAGTCTTAGTCCTCCTTTGGTCATTTATTCCTCTCCTAAAATTTATTCTTTCTTGGGCTCTCTTAATTGAGACTGACTTTCTTACTCCCCTGTTTAAGATTCCTTGCTGCAATGTCGACTTGGTGGTCCTGAACTGGTTTAGTTTATGTTTGTTTTGAAATACCCTTATTTCTGTCAATTTTAAAAAACAGCTTTGTTGTATGTATCAGTCTTCTTGTTATTTACTTTCAAGCCTTGAAATATATCATTCTGGGGCTGGAGACATGTCTCAGCAGTTAAAAGCACTGGCTGCTCTTGTAGAGGCTCCTCGAGAACCCTGGTTCGATTCCCAGCACCCACATGGTGGCTAACAACTGTCTGTTCCAGGGGAATCTGATGCTCTCTTCTGACCTCTGCAAGTATTGTACAACATGGGTGCATTTACATACATGCAGGCAATACATTCATACATGTAAAATAAAAATAATTTAAAAAAGATCACTCCATGTTTTCCTGGCTCTGTAGGGTTTCTGTCAAGTGAACTAATGTCTTTACCTTTACAAGTGAGTTGCTGTTATTATCCTACAGTTTTTTAAAGACAGGGTCTCACTCTGCAGTTCTAGCTAGCCTAGAACTCACTATATACAGGGTGTCTTCAAATTCACACAGATATGCCTGCCTCTACCTTGTGAGTGCTGAGATTAAAGGCACGTGGGCACTATGCCAGGTCCTCCAACAGTTTTTAACATTGTTACTTTGTTTTGTTCTTTTGGCATCTGGAGTACAGTAAGCTATGGAGAGGATGTTCTCTGGCCATGTATATATGGGGCTCTAAACACTTCTTGTGCTTAGATGTTCAATTCTTCCCTAGATTTGAAAAGTCCTCTGCTATAGTTTCATTGAACAGATTTTCTATGCCACTAGCTTTTACTTTGGAACCTTCTATTTCTTGGGTTTGGTCTCTTAATCATATCTTAGAGTTTTTGGAACCTGTGGTTGTGATTTATTTTGTCTGCTTTGTTTTACTTTCACTGACATTTGAATGTAGTTATTTCTGCAACCTCATCCACCATTTGTGATGTTCTTTTGTTGTTGTTGCTTGGTCTAGTCTATTGGTGATGCTTTCCTTTTTTTTTTTTTTTTTTTCATTTACTTTTATGTGTGTATGTGTGCATATGTGTGGGCCTGCATACCATGGCACATGTATGGAGGTAAGAGGACAACTTTTGGGGTCACTTCTCTCCTTCTACCATGTGGGTAAGACCCAGGGACTGAAACATTTCTATTCATGTGCAAATAATTCTCACTCATTTTGCTTACTTTCTAACCCACTTTGATGGTTTTCTTTCTAGTTCCCAAAGTGAATGTCTTAGTACATTCACCTTCTGGTTTATGCGCTCTTTGATTTCACTGATTACTTTTAAAGGAAAATGCTTGAATTCTTCAACATTTTATCCATCCTCGTATCTTTGAACTGAGTAACTGAGGAATTATGATTAGAATCATGTTGCCTTGCTTTTTGTTTATGTGTGTGTATATGTTACTGTGTTGCAATCTGTGCCTTTGTTGTTTGAATCTGCCTTCCAGTTTTATTTGGGGGTCTTCTTAGTGAGTTTACTCCTGAGGGCTCAATTCCCCACACCACTCAAGGAGGAGAAAACAAACTCACCTAACAGTAATAACATCAAACTGAATGAGATATATAATTACAGTTAAAATAGATCAAAACCTGTAATATACCATCAATGACCAAAGAAAATGTCAAAAATAATATAGAACATGCTATATAGCTAAAAATTATAAATAAATGTAATACAAGGGAATAATACACAAGTAGTCCCAGGGTTAGGAAGTGGAGGCAGGGCAATCAGGAGTTCAAGGTCAGGAGTTCATGGTTATGTAGAGAATTTAGCCTAGGTTACATGACACTCTCTCAAAAAACAATCACAAAAGAAAGCAGCAAGATAGTTAAAATGCTGCATCTATACTATAGTAGAAAGAAAAAGAAATAGGAAATACAAAGGCAAAGAAGTACTTTTGGAGCTGCTTCTTTCTGAACTGGACAAGTGTGAATATTGACAAAGGCTGTCTTCACTTTATTAGTGCCCTGTCTTTGTGTACTAGGGGCTTCTGCTGACCACACTTAGCTTTGCATTTCAAAACTACTAGAAATGTATTATTTTTATAAATGACCTAGTTAGAAATATTTTGTTACAGTGACATAAACACATATAAACACCTATAATACTGTATTTCATTAGATTTCAGTTACAGTCAATTATAAGACACACTGCAATTTCAGGGAAGTTAACACAGGAAAAGAATCAGTAAAATAGCTATTATTTTTATTTCTTATAGTTTCTGACAAATTGTTGTATTAGAACATACTTTGTCTTCTACCTTCAGAGCACAGCTTTGAGTTCTAAATATCACAGTATTAATTGCAGTATAAAGCCAAAATACAGCATGTATTCCCTTTAAAATTGACAATATGCAATCAATTTTTCAGTCATTAAAGATAAGAAATAAGAGCCTGAGGAAATGGCTCAGTATTTAAGAGCCCTTCTTGCTCTTCCAGAGGACCTGAGTTCAGATCCTAGCACCCATGTCAAACAGTTCACAACTGCCTTTCACTACAGCTCCAGGGGATCTGATACCCTCCTCTAGCCTCCATGGAGATGCACATAAGGACCACGCATTCACACACAACACATACACAAATAATGATAATAATAACAATAAATTTTTTAAAAAACAGAAAATAAAATACCTGCAATGAACAACAATAGGCTCTTCCTTTCCAGCCCTCTTACTTCGTACATGACAAACAAAATCCAGAAAGTCACTTGAATCATCAGGGACTCCATGGTCAGGCCAGGCTATGTACTGGATCTGAGTGAGTTGACGACTCTCATTTTTCTAAGTGAAAATGAAAAGTCATATACTTTGACTTTGACACTGTCTTTAAAATAAAAACATTTATGTAATTTAAATTTTAAAAGGAAAGCAAAAATAACTTTCCCTTTCCCCCTGCTGAAGTAATGCATAAATTCACTAAACTCCAAAATTTCAACAAAAGGAAAATATTTCAAAGAAATAGCTGTATCCTTTTAAGTAGTAGCTGCTTGTTTCACTACTGTTCAATAACTCAATTTCTCTTATTTGTAAAGATTTTTAACAAGATAATCAAACAGGTAGAAATAAATTAAGGTCGGAGAATGTTTCAATGCTTAAAAGAATTTTTAGGTGAATGGTAAAGTAAAAACTTTCATTTGTGAGCAAAATTGAAACAATCCAGGGGCTGTTAGATGGTTCTGTGGTTAAGAGCATTAACTGCTCTTGCAGAGGAACTGGGTTCTCTTTCCAGCACCCACATGGCAACTAACAGTGCTTAACGTCTGTCCCAAGGGATCCAGCACCATCTTCTGGTCTCTGCAGGCATTGCACACATGTGGTACACACATAAAAATAAATTAAAATAATTTTTTTTTTGAAAATTAGGAAAATCCTTACATGACATAGATGAAAACTAGAGAAAAAACATTTCAATTCAAACCAGTGAGATGGCTCAATGAGTAAAGGCACTTCCCATCAAGACTGACAACTTGAGTTTGATTCCCAGAATCAATACAGTGGAAGAAGAGAACTAACAACTGCAAGTTGTCTTCTGATGTCCACATGTACCGCCACCCCAACATATAAATAAATAAGTTTAATAACATTTTTTGAAAAATTTCCCAAATACATAGGTTAAAAACTACAGAGGTCATAAAGACCCAAAGTCAAATAAGGATCAATCCATTTGGGGAGCCCATGGTTGATATAATTAGAATATAAGAACATTTAATATCTCAGAGTTTCAGTTTTTTTTTTTTTTTTTTTTTTTTCTTGAAAAATAGTAACATCTAAAGTTCTGTAAGACAGTCTTAAGGTTGAAAAGGCTATGTAGGAAGACCTAAATCATCAAGTTACTTGGATTTGCGTGTAGCTAGTCATTTAACGTTACTGAATCTGGAATTGCCATTTGCCTTAAAGGGAGGTCATGTAAGTAGAAGGAAACCATGAAATGAAGTAATAGTTGTTTGTTCATTGTATATATCAATGCATGGGTATTTCTATCTGGTAGCAAATTTGTTTTGTCAATTATATTTGGTTCAAACTTTAGAAACAAATTTGTCTTTGCATAGTTCTGAGGTGCTCATGGTATACAAAGAAAAAGGCCATTGCTAATCTACAGGTAGAGTTCAAAAAGGACTATGTTGAGAACAGAAATTGTATATAAGCATAGTGGTAGTATTTACCAGACTTTTTACTGATTATTCACATTTAGCCCTAGAAGTTGAAAATGCATGTATTATAGCACAGACTACTATGTATAAAATTCTAAAGTACCCCATTAAAGCAGAGAAACAGTTGAATAATTTATTTAAATGTGTGTTTTACAGACATGTGAAATCCAGAAAGGTACATCAGGTGTCCTCCTTTATCACTCTCTGCCCATTCCTTTCAGGCAGGGTCTCCCCCTGAACTTAGGGCTTGCTCTTGGCTAGGCTGCAACAGCAAGTCCTAGAGAACCTCCTGTCTCTGACCTGTCAGAGTTGAGGTTACAGGTATTTGTGGTGATGACTGATTTGTTACATAGTCACTGGGATCTGAACTACAGTCCTCATGACTGTGGGAACAAATGCTCTTAAATGTTGACTCATCTTTCCAGGCTCCAGTTGAGTAACTTTTATATTTCTTAGTAAATTTTTTTTTTTTTTTTTTTTGTTTTTTTAAAAAAAAGATGGGTTTTATTTCTTAATCCATTCACATAGTCTGTGTCTTTTGATGGGGGAGTTTCAGTTTAAAGTCTATTTTGGCAGATATTAGGATTGCTACGCCTGCTTTTTTCTTGGTGCCATTTGTTTGGTATATTTTTTTCCATCCTTTCAACATCGTCCGGCTCCAGTTTTATTAATTTTTTTTTTTTTTGTTAATTTTTTTTTTTTTTTTTTTTGGTCTTTTTGAGACAGGGTCTCCCTGTAGCCCCAGCTGTCCTGGAACTCACTATGTAGACCAGGCTGGCCTTGAACTCACAGAGCTCCACCTGCCTCTGCCTCCGAGTGCTGGGATTAAAGGCCTGCGCCACCACGTCCGGCTTTCTTAGTAACTATTACTCAGATTAAAGACATTTTCAGCTTTCAAAGTCTTTATTAACAGTTCTTAAGAATAGACATCCAACCATCTTACCTCTTGGTTAAACAGTGTCATCGTTCTGAAGACATAGGCAGGGTTTCCTTCTTCAGAGTGGCAGGTGACTTCATAGCACCCATAGGATGAGCTTCCTGTGGGTTCTGGCCAATACTGGTGACATTTGACCTAATAGCAACAGGATTGAATAAACAAAATTATGTATACACATAGGAATTTAAATTCTCCAATTTTCAAAATGTTTTAATTTTTTAAGAACTTCTGAACTTACACAAAATAATTTAACTCACACACACCTTTCATTTAGATGTTCCAATTGTGAACATTTTGTTTGCATGCATGTTTAGTGTACATATATTTGTGTGTAAGCATGTATGTAACTGTGCATGTACGTGTGTGTGTACATGTGGAGGCTAGAGGTCAATGTTGGGTGCCTTCCTCTATGACTCTGTACCTTATCTTCTTGAGAAAGGGTCTCTCACTGAACCTGGAGCTGTCAGTTTGGCTAGGCTGGCTGACAAGAACATAGAGGATCTCCCAGTTCTTGCTCTGCCCCTCCAGCTCTAAGGTTACATACGCCACTGTGCTTGGCTCTTCTCCCCACTTCTTTGTCATTAAAAAAAAAAAAAAGACCTTTGTAATAATAAGCAATCTGTTTAGTTATACTTTGATAAGACTTTCAAAAAATTTTGTGAACTCTAATCCAATCCCTATGACCATATACCCCACCCATTTAAAACACAATTGTTTTTAGTACACTTACAGAATTATGCAGCCATTACTATAAGGACTTTTAGAACACTTTGACTATAGCCTAAAAAAATCTCTATACTCATTAGTAGTTACACTGTATTCCATCTCATTCCAATCCCTTTCTCAAACTAGACCTAGGTGCCCTTAATCTACTGTCTGTGCTTATGGGACAGCCTATTCTAGACACTTCATAAAAGTGGAATCATGTAATATTCTTGTTGTTACTGGACTTTTTTCATTTAGTATAATGTTTTCCAGGTTCACTCAAGTTGTATGTAGTACATATCAGTACTTCACTTCTTTCTACATTGTGGTAAGTATCAGCACCTCATTTCTTTTTATTACCAAATATTCTTCAGTAATTTGAATATATTACATTTTATTTGAATGTCTGAATTTCTAGTTCATGGTTATTATGAATAATGCTGCTATGAATGCATGAACATTTCTTTTAACTCCTTGGATATATCCAGTACTGAGGTTGCTAAATTAGAGTTATACTGTTTATTTCTTTGAGGAACTGCCACAAGCTCCCAAAGTATCCACTTTTACAAATTCAGAAGCAGAGCAACCAGGATTTCATTTTCTCCACATTATCACTAAGACTTGTTATTCTATGCTCCTCATTTGTTGTAGCTATTCTACTGGCTTTGAAGTAGCATATTACTGTGATTTTGATTTGCATTTCCCTGATGATATCCAGCATCTTCTCATATGTTTATTAGACACTAGTAGATATTCTTTGGATAATGCAGATCCTATTTCAAATTTTGAAATGATTTTTCATTTCACTGGTAATTTGTGAGAATTCTTTACATATTCCAGATACAAGCCTCTCAGACATACATTATTTTAAATAAATACAATGAAGATAAAGGGAAACACTTATGGCACAAATATGTGTAGTCACAGACTTAATCATTTAGTTGTGATTATTCAAATCATGAAATCACAAAAAGATTAAAGGCTAAAAGATCAGCATGAATATTCTGAGTATATAAACATGATATAATTTGAAAAGAGCCCAAGCAATGTGTAATATTCAACAACTTACTCTGCCACGTTCAACTTGTGTAGTCAACATTACAACCATGGAGGAGCCTTGTTCCCAAGTCATTTGCCAAAAATCTTTACAAGTGTGTGGTAACGGCCCTTGGCAAGCAATGTACTGATTTATAATACTTGAAGAAGGAATTTCCATCTTAAAAAAACACATTAAGATAAAATCTTTGTATTATGAATTTTCATATGGGAATATGAAAACCATACATTAATAGTAAAGTGAACACAACTAATCTTATTAAACTAATCAGTATAATAGTCTTTACAAGTAATATATTTTATCTGCAAAAAATTTCCTTGGCAATGTCCAACAGTTATACATACTCAGCATTCAATTAGTGGAGAGAAGGATTTAAATACAAATATTTCCTAAAACACTGTATTTTTTTTTTTAAATAGAGTGTCTCATTATGTAGCCCAGGCTGGCCTTAAACTCAGGATCAACTTCTCAACTGCTGGGATTACAGGGATGCATCACCACATCTGGCAGTACCATGGTTTAAGAAAGAGCTTTACAGAGAATTCTGTATCAGAATCAGACAGGGAATTCATAAAGAAATTTAAAAAATCTCTAAGTAGTTTATTGGTACATTTCCGAAGGAAGAAAAATTCTGCCATTTATTTTAGCTTGAATTTTGCATGTAAAACAATTTAAAGAGTTACTAGAGGGCTGAAGAGATAGCTCATTGGTTTAGAGCGCTGGCTACTCTTGTAGAGGACCTGGGTTTGGTTCCCAACATCCACATATTGGCTAATAACTGTAACTCCAGTTCCGGAGAACCCAATGCCCTCTTCTGGCCTCCACAGGCACTGCATGACAAGGGTGCACTTACACACATGCAGGCTACATACTTATATACATAAAACAAAAATAATAAGTAAAACATTTTTTTAAGTTACTGAATGTCATTCAAGACTAAATGTTTTAGAATGAAGTAAGGGAGTTTGTAACTCCAGTTCCGGGGGAACCCAATGCCCTCCATAGGCACTGCATGACAAGGGTGCACTTACACACATGCAGGCTATATACTTATATACATAAAACAAAAATAATAAGTAAAACATTTTTTTTTAAAGTTACTGAATGTCATTCAAGACTAAATGTTTTAGAATGAAGTAAGGGAGTAAATTTTGAGGAATCACCATCTTACTACATTTAAAATTGAAAAAAAGGGAATATACGTAGATGGGAATTCAGAGAATTACAAAGGGTGTATGTGTATGTGTGACACCAGAAGGGCAATTTTTCTTGTTTTTAATAACCCTTTCACAGAGATATTATATATACAACTATCTTCCTATTTTTCTGTAAAAATATTTTTAAAGTGGTAGTATTGTGTTTTATGAATCTCATTTTTTGAGTGATAATATCAAAATTAGTACACAAAACTTCATTTTTTATATAACCATTCTGAAAAATATGGTGTAATTTTTTTAACAGACATTTAAGCTATAGTTATTCTATCTGTTACCAGTAACAAGGTTAAACTGAATTCTTCTGCAAACATAACACTTCTTGCAAATGTAAAAATCTATCTATCTATATGGGCAACAGGAAGAAATGAGAATGCTAATCAAAATGCATGTGCACCTAGAATTCTGATAATATCAAACTGCTCTCCAGAGAAGTTTTGCCAATCCATGTTTCAACCAATAATGTATGAGGAATGTGTTTTTGATCATACTCACTAATATATCTGTAATTCCTGAAACTACCTATAGTCTGAAATGCAAAGTTGTTTTTTTAGTATGTTTAAACTTGAACTAAATTGGCATTTGATAGCAAAATCTGACTTTGACCTAAGTTATTTATATTCTATTAGTCATTGTTAGAATATTTATATAATATCAATATAATAATTATAAGGCACTTGCCCCATAAACTGCTAGGGACTTTACTTCTTATAGTACTGGTACATGGACTGAATATCCTTTCAAAAAAATCTAAAAATTCTGAATCCCAAAGTATTTGGCCCTAAGGTTTCAAATAAAGGACTGGACTTGAATGTGTTAGCATCAAATTTTTGAGTCTTTCAGTCTCATACATTAAATAACACTACTTCCTTATAGTCTCAGTTTGTACATTTTTTGGTAAACTGGGTGTACTTTTCATTTAACTGTGTCAGTTATTTTCTAATTCTTATAATAGAATTGTGGTTTTGCATAAAAATATTTCACAAATCCTTGTATGAGATACCTATTAAAACAGCTAATCCTTGTTACATTTTGATTTTGCACTTTTGACTTGTTGGGAAAGCTCACTGGTTTGTATTTGCCTCTGTCTGGCAAGTATATACATGTAGGGGTAGGAGGAAGGTGGGAGGTATGTGAATTTATGCAAACACTGAGGTCAGAAGAGAATATCAGGTCACATCTTCTATCACTCTCTGACTGCCTATACCAGTGAGGCAGGGTCTCTCCCTGAACCTGGGGCTTGGGTCTAGAGTCTTGGTAGAAGCCAGCAAGCTCCAGAAATCCTTCTGTCTCTGTCCCCTTGGAGCTGGGGTTACAGGCATTTGTCAGGATGGCCACATTCTTATGTGACTACTAGAATTTGAATTCTGGTCCTCATGATTACACAGGAAGCACTTTTAACCATTAAGCCATCTCTCCAGTCCAATAACTGCAAAAGTTTATATGTAACCTCAAAACATCAGCAGGGGTTTCTTGATCATTTGTAGACATACTAAAAGCAGCAAAGAATTTGAGTTGCTAGATAAGAATGTTTCAGCAGACATCAAATATGGCAACTCTGCTTCCTCCCCACCATCATAATGCACACATGTAGCCTCTACCACTATATGCAGTACCATATTCTTCACATTTTTTAAATTTGTTTTTGGAGACAGTGTCTCACTATGTAGGACTGGCTGTCCTGGAACTTGCCATGTAGACCAGGTTGGCCTTGAACGCAGAGATACACTTGCCTCTGCTTCCTGAGTGCTCGGATTAAATATATTTGCCACCACACTTGGCTACACTTCACAGTTTGTGCTTACTGTTGGTGATTGTGATGTCTGGAAGCACAGTGATGAAGTACTGTCTAGTGTTCTTAAGAGCAAGGCAGTTGTGATATTCATTGTGGAAAAAATATGGATTAGTTTCCTTCAGACAAGAATTACACTACAGTACTGTTGACTGCATTCAATGTTAACAAATTAACAGTATCACTATTAAAGAAGTCTTTAAATGAAGTGATGTATTGATTTGCTGACAAAACGTGACTACAGGTTTATGGACACCTAACTGTATTTGTCTTAGAAACAATGATTCACTATTCTCTAGTTCATCAGTTGTGGAAATGATTTTTTTGTGAAAGCATTTTGTTATAAATCAGAATCTTTTCTAACCTTGTAACCCAAGTTAACCTTATGTTTTGAGATGATTTGACACTATCTTGGAAACAACCTTATGAGGCCTTAGGCTTATCTTATAAGCTAAACAAATAGTTTTAATACCTCATAACCTTTCTTTTGCCTTGACCTAGAATAATGGGGGTGCATGTATGTATGCATGTGTGTGTGTGTGCGGTTGAAAGAAATGAATTATCCCCAGTTTGTGTTGCAAACATCAGGTTGGATTAGACTGATAACATCTGTCTATGGTTGTATTTATTGTGCTGGGTGAGGTAAGATCTGAAGGAGACAATCCTTCTCTGATAAATCAGACAAAGTTCCTCATTCCTTTTTCAGTATCATGCTGGAATGTACTGCTGCAAGAAACACAAAGTCCTTTGTTTAAGAGAATAGTTCCTAGAGACATGAGAAGGAACAAGTTCAGACAACAGATTGGGCTCACTCTGTTTTAAAGGACACCAAGAGTCAGGATGTCTTTATTCAGGCACTGTCACATGGTAACCTCTCTACCACAATCACTTTCAAAGTCTTTATAGGAAGAATATATAACCAGCTCATATGAGAATAAATTAAAAATAATCTAGGGTGCAGCACTTAAAACAATATTGGCCATTTGTTGACAGATCTTAAAGCTGGGTAATGCATACAATAAGGGACTCATCATACAATTCTCTCTACTTTTATAGACACTTGAAAATGGCTATATAGTTTACAATGTTACTTGGTATTTTCTTTCTATGTCTTCCTTTATCATGTTTTTTTGTTTGTTTCAGACAGTTTTGCTATATAGCCCAATTAGCCATGAACTTGAGATCTTCCTACCTCAGTCTCTCAAATGCTGGTTTTACATACTGTGCCAATAGGCCTGGCCTATGTCTGTGATTTTAACTGGGCTGTATTTTAAAAATTCAAACTGTCATTTGATCTCAGTACTCAAGTGTACCAAAAAGCAAAGATCTTACATTATTACCTTTATTTAAAAAGTCTTTAAATGAAGTTATGTATTGATTAGTTGACAAAAATGTGACGAGGTATATCTCCATTTTGTTGTTGTCCTTTTAAGATGAGGTCTTGCTGTCTTGTTCAGGCTGGTTTTGAAAGCTTGGATTCAAGTGGTCCTACTGCCTCAGCTTTTTAAGTGCAGAGACTACAGGTACCAATGTGTCTTAACTATTTATATGTAGCTTAGGCATGTATCCAATAGCTTAGCAAAAATCTTCCCCTAGATGAAATATTCCACAATTCTAAAATATTTCTTTCAAGTATTTTCAAGATTTTGTTTTACGAGATATGCCATGTGCATAAGTTGTATCCTGATTTTTTGGGGGGGTGGTCTTTTTGAGACAGGGTCTCCCTGTAGCCCCAGCTGTCCTGGAACTCACTAAGTAGACCAGGCTGGCCTTGAACTCAAAGAGATCCACCTGCCTCTGCCTCGAGTGCTGGGATTAAAGGTGTGTGCCACCACACCCGGCCATGTTTTACCAATTTATATACTGATGTGCTTTCACCATGTCAGTATCAAGGTTGAGTATTTATAAATGAATATGAAACGATACACAATTCTGCTACAAAACAATCTGGATGTGGGGACAGGAAAACAAGACTGGTCATGAGTTGACAGTGGTTGAAGCTCAGTGATATTTAAGTGAAGGTTCATTTTATGTTTCTAAAAAATTAAATAAGGGGCTGGTGAGAGAGATCAGTGGTTAAGAGCACTGACTGCTCTTGTAGAGGACCCAAGCTTGGTTTCCAGCACCCACAAGGTGGCTAACAACTGTCTGTAACTGTAGTTCCAGGAATTCAATGCCCTCTTCTGGCCTCCATGGGCATTACATGACATGGGTGCACTTATATACATTCAGGCAAAACACTCATACACATAAAATAAAGTCAATATTTTAAAAAATTAAATTAAAATTTATTTTTATTTATGTGTATGTGTGCATGTCTGAGTACATGTGTATAAGTGACTGCAATGGCTAAAAGAGGGGATCAGATCCCATGGAGCTGGAGTTATAGGTAGTTTTGAGCTGCCCAATGTGGGTACTGGAAACTGAACTCAGGTGCTCTGCAAGACCAGCAAATGCTCTTAACGTCTAAGCTATCTCTTTAGTCCCTTCATTTTACTTTCTGCTGTAATTCTGTGGGTAATCTTTTCCCCTGCTAGTTGGGGGAAATAATCCTCCTTATAATGATATATTTTGGACAGATAACCCAAATTACTAGTTTACTTATTTTATCTCTGGTGATTTAAAGGCTGCCTCTACTATAACCAAAACCAATTCCTTATTCTAGTATTAATAGTTCTATCTATTTCTGGACTGGATTACTCTACTTCACTGCTCTATCTTCATATCAAAACACCAGTACAAAACAAATTTCTTTAACATTAATTTGATAAAAAATTTCAATATCAGGAATTAACCTCAAAATTTACAATGCCCTCAATTATTTCAAGTATCAATGGCAGAAAAAAAAAACTTACATTTATATAGTTGGCATTGATGTAGTCTTCATTACCTTTTAAAAGGACCCGTGTAGCATCATCTGAAAAAATTTCAAAGAAACAACAAATTTCTTTTTTGTTTTGGTACTAGAGATTAAACCATCGAAGCCTGAACACAGTGTTCTACCACTGAACTACATTCCCATAAACAATGTTTCAATAAAGTTATATTAAAAAGATTAATCTTATGATAAGAAATGATAAATACTTACAAGGCGAAATATCTCTGTATCTATTTTTGGAAATGTTCTGAGGTAATTTGGCACATGACATTGTCATTCCAGGTTTTTTCCGATACAGTTGCTTAAAAAAAAAAAAAAATCCATCAACAGTTCTCTTTTGTTTTTTTAGA